GATATCGATAGTCACTCAAGAAGAAGAAGCTATAAAGAAAAATTCCTCTCACTCAATAAACTATGTTTCTCATGGCTCTAGCAGCAAATCTGGAGGGTCATATAGGAAAAAGGAAAAGAAGCATGATGCCCCAAAGCTTAATAATCCAACCTTTAAGAAGGCTGGTGATAAGAGTGAGAAGTCAAGGAAGAAACCCTTTAAAGGGTTATGCAATTATTGCAAGAAACCGGGTCACATTAAAGCTAATTGCTTCAAATTGAAGAACAAACAAGAAAGTGAAGGTACAACTCTTCAAACTGCCCCTCTAGCTCTAGTTTGTTTTGAATCTAATACTATTGAAACTTCCTTTGACTCATGGTGGCTGGATTCTGGTGCCACTGTACATATTGTGAATTCTCTATAGGGGCTAAGAAACCAGAAGGTTCCAAGTGAGGCACAGAGGTTAGTCTTTGGCATAGCAGGGAGCAAGGCATCAGTTGAATGCATTGGAACTGTTTCTTTATATTTAAATTTTGGTCATGTTTTGCATTTGAACAATGTTGTTTATGTACCTTCTGCGAAGAGAAATTTAATTTCAACTTCTGCATTGGATATTTGTGGCTATTCATTCTTCCAAGGAAATGGGAAAATTGACATTTGTTTTGATTCCATTAATGTTGGTGTCGCTTCCTTGATATATGGTTTATATCGATTAAATGATTGGTCACTTGAACTTCCTAATCTCCATATCAATGCTGCTATTGGGCATAAACGTCAAAGGCCCAATGATAATTCCTCTATGTTATGGCATCGTCGTTTGAGTCATATCTCTAGAGAGAGATTGGAGCACATGACCAAGCAAGGTGTCTTACGAGACCTTGATTTCTCAGATTTTGAGACTTGTGTTGACTGTATAAAGGGAAAATTCCCTGCTAGAGCTAGAACCAAAAGGGTAAAGAGGTCTGAAAACACTTTAGACTTAATCCATACTGATATCTGTGGACCTATCACACTTTCGACTATGGGTGATTTCAGATATTTCATCACCTTCATAGATGATTACTCTCGTCATGGATGGATTGAACTCTTACGTGAAAAGGGTGAGTCTCTTAATGCATTCAAGACCTTTAAAGCAGCAGTCAAATTAAAATCTAGCAAGTTGATCAAGCGTGTGAGATCTGATAGAGGAGGAGAATTTTATAGGAGATATACTGAGACTAGCAGGAAACCTTAGGCCATTTGCTTTGTACCTTCAAGAGCATGGCATTGAAGCTCAGTATACTATACCTGGGATCCCACAGCAGAATAGGGTTGCAGAAAGGCAAAATAGTACTCTCATGGATATGGTTAGAAGCATGATCAGTCACTCTTCACTGCCAGAATTCTTGTGGGGTGATACACTTAAAACTGCTATTTATATTTTGAATCAAGTTCCTAGCAAGTTAATTCCAAAGACTCCATATGAGTTGTATTTTGGAAGGACTCCTGCGTTGAAGCATATGCGAATTTGGGGTTGTAAAGCACAGGTAAAACCTTACAATCCACAACAGATGAAGCTTGATGCTAAAACTATTGATGGTTTCTTTATTGGCTATTGCATCGGATCTTGTGGGTACAAATTCTATTGTCCAAATCACACTACTAGGGTAATTGAATCTGACCGAGCTTATTTCTTTGAAGATGCCTTTAGACAGTGGGAGCTCTGTGCCTAGGCATGTTACTTCACATGACAAAAGTAGCATTTTACCTATGCCTATCTTTACAAACCCTCATGTTGATAGAAATAATGCCGTGGATCAGGATGAAGCTCAAGATAAACCACTTTTAGAAGGTAATAGGGATCTAGTTGTTGAACCAAGACGGTCCCAAAGGCTTCGCAAGTCTGCTATTCCAGATGATTACATGGTGTATTTGCAGGAATTTGATTCAGATGCTATTGATAGTTTAGACCCAATATCTTACTAAAAGGCTATTTCTAGCTCGCATTCTTCTGAATGGTTGGAGGTTATGAGTGAAGAAATTGCCCCTATGTACCGCAATCACGTATGGGAGCTTGTAGAGCTATCAAAGGGTTTTAAACCAGTGGGTTGCAAGTGGGTCTTTAAAACAAAACGAGGAGCTAGAGGTAAAATTGATAGATATAAAGCCATACTTGTAGCTAAGGGCTACAACCAGAAAGGAAGGTATTGATTACACGGAAAACCTTCTCTCCGGTATCCACCAAAGATGCTTTTAGAGTGGTAATGGCTTTAGTTGCACAGCTTGATCTTGATCTTCACCAGATGGATGTTAAGACTACGTTCTTGAATGACGATTTGTATGAAGAAGTCTACATGACACAACCTGATGGTTTTGTTGAATCTGGTAAAGAACATCTAGTGTGCAGATTAAAGAGATCCATCTATGGGCTAAAACAAGCCTCTAGGTAGTGGTATCTGAAATTTGATGAAATTATTACCTCACTCGGTTTTGTTGAGAATGTCTCAGATCAGTGTATCTATCAGAAGTTTGATGGGAACAATTTTTCCATTCTTGTTCTCTATGTTGATGATATCTTGTTAGCCAGCAATTCAATAAATTTCCTCAATAAGATAAAGCGCCTATTGTCTTGCCATTTTGACATGAAGGACATGGGTGAAGCCTCCTTTATTCTTGGGATACAAATTCATCGTGATAGATCTCGTGGTATTCTTGGTTTATCACAGGCCACTTATATTGAGCGGGTACTTAAGAGATTCAGAATGGATTCATGTTCTCCTTCACCTGCTCCTGTACAGAAAGGTGAGCTGTTGTCAGAGCTACAGTGTCCCAAGGATGATAAGAAGAGGGCTGAAATGAGAAAGATACCATACGCTTCTGCTGTCGACAACCTTATGTATGTTCAAGTGTGTACTCGACTAGATATAGCCTTTGCCATTGGAGTGCTGGGTCGATACTTAAATGATCCAGTCTGGATCATTGGAAGGCTGCCAAGAAAGTTATGAGGTATCTTTAAGGTACAAAGAATCATATGTTGACTTACAAAAGGTCAAATTCTCTTGAGGTAGTTGGGTATTCTGATTATGATTTTAAGGGATCAGAAGATCATGAGATTATTGGCTTTTCAGATTCAGATTTTGCCTCTTGTCTGGATGATCGTAAATCCATGACTGGATATATTTTCATGTTGTCTATAGGAGTTGTCTCTTGGAAGAGTGTGAAACAGACACTTACGGCAATTTCATCTATGGAAGTTGAGTATATTGCTTGGTTTGAGACTACACGTCATGCTATATGGCTGAGGAAGTTGATATCTGGCATGCACCTAGTTGAGTCAATATCACGTCCTCTAACCATTTACTGTGATAACAAATCTGCAGTATACTATGCTAACAATCACAGAAATTCCAGTCGTATAAAGCATTTTGATATCAAACTTGTGTTTGTGAAAGAGAAAATTGCTGAGTCTCAGACCCGTGTGGTACACATTCCTGGCACGCAGATGCTTGCAGATCCACTGACTAAGGGCTTACCTGTAGAAGTTTTTCAAAATCATGTAACTTGTATGGGTATTGTGAATTTTTGATGCCCTAGTCTAGTGGGAGTTTTGAGAACCTTTTGTGTTGCAATTTCTCTTTAGGCTTTGTTTTTCTTTTGTGAGTTATGTTCAGTTCAGTTAGATGCATCTATATCATTTGTATCCCTATAGGATTCAATGATTATATTGTGGTACGCTATGCATGTCACTTGTTTCCCCATAGGAATCAGTGATTTATATTGTTATCTTACTAAGCTGTGTTTTGAATAAAAATTCATATTTTATTTAGATTATGAGATGTTATATCACTTGTTTCCCTGTAAGATCCAGTGATTTTGTGGAGTTTCATTTTCTGAATCTTGTTTGTGGCTTGTTTATATAACTTGCTTAATTAATGCAATCCAAGTGGGAGATTGTTGGAATATTCATTTAATTATGGATTAACATTAATTAATAAGCCCAAACAGATTGGTCTTTATGATCTTGTGTGGACCGTGATAGGAGGACTACACAAATGAGCCCAATGGGCAGAGGCCTAACCAACAACCCAGTAGCCGTCAATTATTCCTATCTCTTAACTGACTGAGTAGAGATAATAAGATATATAATTATTTATTATTTAATAAGGCGGTTACCAATCTGATCTATATAAAATGATTAGTCGATAACCGCAAACACACGACTCATTTCTTCTACTCTATTATCTCTGAACTCTCTGTAAGCTTTGTGGACCTGTGGGTTGTGTACTTGCCTACACTCGAGATAATCGAGCTTTCTCAAGCGCTCATGGATTCTTCAGATACGCATGAATTACTTTATTTATTATATCTAATTATATATATATATATGTGTGTGTGTGTGTGTGTGTGAATTGAGACATTCAATCTAACAGTACCTTCATCAGGTTTAGTACATTTAATAAAAGAATAACCTCTTTAAGAGATAACATTATCGTTAAATGCAGATTAACTAAATGGTTGAATGAAAACATCGTTTAATGATTCAGCGAATTGCTCACTATACCCTCATTCTCTAAGTAATGAATAAATTATCTCTGGCCCAAAAAAAAAAGAATAAATTATCACAGCCGGCAGAAACAGAAACACGTACAAGCTGAAGGATTTTTCTTTCTCGTAAACTTTAAAGCAAACAATAAAAGGTGAAAATCACAGCGTCGATTCACTACAACAAGAAGTCAGTTTAAAAGTGCAAAAAGTTCTTTTGCCAGTTGCTGTAAACAACGCATATAAAAATCCTTGTGGATGTGGTGGTTAAATCGTAAAAATAATAATAATAAAAATACAAATAAAAGCAGAATCAGCATTGAGTAAAGGTGAAGCTGTGGGGTCTCGTTGGCGAGGGAAAGTGGGGTCTACCTCCAGTTGCCGACATGGCGTGCCACGCGTCACAATAAGCGGTTTACCCTCGGTAATAACAGGAGCTGTGTCAAGTGGCTTTAAAAGCCGAATGTCCAATAAACGGAAGCCAAGGGGGTCCAACGGTAAATTTCGCGCAGATCCAATCACAGGAGGCCCCACCCACCCTCAGGCGAGGAGAGCCTCCTCACTTGTACAGATCCTAACGGGAAACAGAGGAAGAGAATTCCCATGTACAAGTAATCTCTCTCCTCTTTCATTAATAAAGAAGAAAAGCATAGTATTGTTCTCCTTCATTGATTTCTAACGGTTCACATCCATATCGTCTTCTTCCGCTCTTCGTTGTCCCGATACGCTTCGCCTCTTTTCCTTTCTCTGATGGCCGAGGATTTCGTTGCGGCCGTTGAAGATGGCATCAAGCTCTCCAGGCGTATATATTTCGGCAAGGACAGGGCGGTGGCGCCGCCCAAGCCCCCTACCTCCATGGAGAAGTCGTTTCATGCTTTTCTTCCCTGCGCGCCGATGGTTTATGCTGTCATCTATGATCCGGGAATCGTGGATAACCCTGATATGCCGAGTTACCAGCCACACGTGCACGGCAGGTGCGACCCACCGGCGCTGATTCCGCTTCAGATGAATGAGGTTGAGCTCCGGGCGGATTGCTATTTGGATACGGCGTTTGTCACGATTAATGGCGTTTGGAGGGTGCACTGTGTTAAGGGTAGCCGGAGCTGTGATTGCCGCGTCGCAATTCCCATGGGCGAGCAGGTGATTTTCACTATATATGCATTATATTTGGTTATTTTGAAGTCCACCTCTCGTCTCGTCTTGTTCTTCTTCCTCTCGTTTTTTTTTTTTTTTTTGTGGTGTGTACTAGAATTTTTCGCTTTTGTAGTTAATTACAATTGGAAGCTCACTCCTTCTTTATCTGGCTTTGATCAACATAGTAAGGAACTTTGAATAAAATTATTTGAGGACTCGGCGGTCAATTAAGGTTGAAAATGTTATCTCAAATGGTTTTCTTGGAGGTGATTGGGGCTTGGTTCTCTAGTTTTGTTTCCTTTGATAATACTCTGATTTACACTCCGCTTTCGCTGTACGCCAGTGAATGTATTTATTTTCTCTTTTCTGTTTTTGTCCATCGAGAAATTAAAGTTCAATTGCTTTGGACAAATTGGAAGTGTGGAAAATGAACACAAGTTTTCTTCGTCCTTTTGATTTTTTCGCAGTTTATTGTTTCTTTCCTCGTTGGAAAGCTCTCCATCCAGGAGGATCAATATTTTGTAATTATTTATGGTTTAAACAAATGCACCAAGAAAGCCATCCAGGCTTTCTGCTCTGTTAGACATGAACCTTACTATCTCAAACTCCAAATAACTTTAAATATGTTGTAAACTTTGTGTTCTGATATAATTTGGCTAACAGGGTTCAATTCTAGGTGTCGAGGTCAGTGGTCCTAGGAAATCATATCGTACTCAACTTCTTATGGATGAGAACAACGAAAAGGAATACGCCATTGGAGCTAAACAAGCGGGCTTCATCAAACCCAACATATTTACCTTAAATATACCAGAGGTAGGTACATGCATAACTGTGTTTAAACATCATAGGTCGTTATTAATTTCTACATCCATGTCTATTCATTCTGACAATGTCTTCTTAGAATGTGCTTGTAACAGATTGACGGAGGTTCCAATTTATCAATTAAAATTACTTGGTCCCAGAAACTTTTATACAGCAATGACGAGTTCTTCTTGAATGTGCCATTTACCTTTCCTGCTTTTGTGAAACCTGCGGGAAAGAGAATTCCTAAAAGAGAAAAGATACAAATAAACGTCAATGCTGGTGTTGGAAGTGAGCTGTTATGCAAGACAATAAGTCATCCCTTGAAGGTTCTTTTTTCCTTGGAGTTTTGTGGGGACTCCTTTATTTTTTTTTAGCATGAGGCCATCATATATGATTCTTTTCTCTGAATGTCCAGGAAGTGAGGCGCTATGCTGGGAGTATCAGTCTCTTGTATAATTCTGAAGTTCTTGAATGGTCAAGCATTGATTTTCGTTTTTCATATTGTGTAAGAGTCGTGTTCCTTTTTAGCTCCATGTCTATTCTATAATTTAGTTTCTAAAAGGTGATATACTCAGCATGTTACTTGTTGTTAGGTTTCTTCAAGTCATATAAATGGCGGTGTTCTTTTGGAATCTGCATCTCTGCATGATTTTAATCAAAGTGACATGTTCTGCATGTACCTTTATCCTGGAAATCTTCAGAGCAGTAAGGTTGGTGTAAAATCTTTACTTTGTAGGCTACATGTTGTACAGTTCTTATTTTTCTGAGGTGTTAAACTCATTATTGGTCCTACTAAATCTTCAGGTTTTCAAAAAAGATATAGTATTTGTTGTTGATATTAGCGGAAGTATGCAAGGGAAGCTAATGGATGACATAAAGACTGCATTATCATCCGCTTTGTCTAAGCTTGATCCTGATGATTCATTTAGCATTATAGCTTTTAATGGAGAGATTTATCTGTTTTCAAAATCAATGGAATTGGCTTCCGAGGAAACAGTTGGAAGGGCCATTGAATGGATTAAAACGAACTTTGTTGCAGAAGGTGCCACAGATATTTTGCATCCCTTAAACAAGGTATATTTAAATAATTTTACAGTTTCTGTGAAATCCTCATCTAAAGTTATGTCTTGTTTACAGTTTACAGTTACACAAGATGCCAGGGATGTTTTTATCTCCTAGAACCACTGCAATTTACATTTCATATCATCTCTGGATGAATTTATTATCAGTTAATCTAATTTTTTGTGCGTGTGATAGATTTATGAAAAAGACCATATATAGTTCATTGGGCAGTAGTTAATGACTTCCTGAGGGCGTTGCACTGAAAAGAAAATATCAAAATATGCTTACCTTGATGCATAGAGAACCAATTCCACAAATCCCATTGTCTCTTTGTTGATCCCTGGCTAGCTTTGATATTATTGATGTTCATGATCCTTGGCTGGAGTTTTATATTTTGTTTGCCTTTTCTCTTCAGGCAATAGAGCTGCTATCAGGAGTTCGAAGTTCAATTCCAATGATTTTCCTGGTTACAGATGGATCTGTTGAGAATGAGAGACATATTTGTGATATTATGAAGAAGCATATGATCAATGAAGAGTCAATATGCCCCCGGATTTACACCTTTGGTATAGGTATGGTTTCCAATATTTCTTGCTCTTCAGACCATATATCAGTGATTTTAAAACTAGACTAGACTTGACGATTGGACCGCCGACTGGTCCGAATTCTGATTCAGTCAATATATAAAAACTATTTTGAAAATTAAGTTGGGTTAGGCCATTTTGGACTGGGAACCAAAATTAAGTCGAGAACCAGATATGGTTTTCAAAAATTGGATTGTTCAAAAAAACTTTTTTTTTTAGGAAATGACTAATTTTTTTAATCATTTGATGTTATGTTGTATCATATGACTTGTTAAGTCATGATAAACTTAAAATATTTTGATTTTTTTAAGCTATTCAAAAAAACTTTTTTTTATTTTTTGTTGAATTTTTTTTCAAGAAATGATCAATTTTTTTAATCATTTGATGTTATGTTGTCTCATGCGACTTGTTAAGTCATAATAAACTTAAAATATTTGATTTTTTTAAGTTAAATAGTAATTTCATATTTATTTCTTACATTTAGATTATTATATACATATACTCCCTCTGTTAAAAAATGTAAGACATTTTTAGTCTTTCGAGATGTAATAATTACCTTTTTACCAAAAGTAACCCTATTAATATTGAATTTATATTTATTATAGGGTATTTAAGAGGGGTAAATATGAAAAGATAGGGTCAGTTTAAAAGTAGGTAACTACTTTATTGGGGTGCGAAATTCAGTTAAAAATGCCTTACATTTTTTAACGAAGGAGTATAGTTTTTTCATTTAATTATTACGTCACCGGTTTGACCATTGATTCAACCTGATTAAACCATGTGAACTATAAACTGCTAACCTTTCTGGTTCAATATCCGGTCCGGTTCTAAGAACATTGCTTATATGCTATGCTTGAGAAGCCTTCAATAAATTTTTACATTATAAAATTATTTTCCAATATCTTTCTCTTGAAATTTTTTGTTGAGTTGTGTTTGATGTTTAGAGTTTACCATTCTTTCATTTAAATATCCCAGGTTCGTTCTGCAATCATTATTTCTTGAGTAGGCTTGCTATGATTGGCAGGGGCCAATATGATGCTGCATTGGATGTAGGTAAATGATACATTTCCTCAACTTCATAAGATATATTGGAAACAAGGTTTTAAAGACCCAGATCTTACTTAAGATTGACCAACGGGTCAAAAAGAACAGGTAGGATGAGAAGATCACGCCTCTAAAGAAATATAACAGTTAAAATATACATGTAATTGCCTGGAAGTCACAAATATGCAAAATTCTATCAATTTATATACAAAATAGTGAATTTAGTTAATTTATACAAGATTGATTTCACCATGTTTTTAGTACAACAAACTGACTGAAAAATCTTCTTTTTGAAATGGACAGATTTGATCGTGCCCCGAATGCTTAAATTATTTGATAAAGTTTCATCTCTCATTCTGGCCAATATCACTATTGACATGCTTAATGGGCTTGATGAAGTTGAGGTAAGACATTCAATGGTACAGTTTTTCAAGCGTTGTCGGCATACTTATTTTTTCAGAATCCTTATTCTCTTCCCAATCTCAAAAGTCCCCAACTGTCTTAGTGATTTAGTGATCTTTAACAAATCCTGTCTGTGATTCTGATGACATCAAATATGCTTGCTATAATTCCTAAGACGATTTGTGTCGACTTTTTTGTGGTATTTCCATTTTTATGTCTTGTTTTAAGCAATAAGAGAAATTGAAGACACTCTTGCATGATGACATGATGGAACCCACATGTCCAGTTAATTATGACTGAAAATCTGTTTTGTTACATATTAGCTATGTTTTATGACTTCTTTATCCCGACTTAACTTAAGATTGTGGTTCTCTCTAATTACATTATATGATAGGTGTACCCATCCCAAATTCCAGATCTTTCATCAGAGGGTCCATTGATGTTATCTGGAAGATATAAGGGGACTTTTCCTGAAAAATTAATAGTTGAAGGTGTCTTGGCTGACTTCAGTCGTTTTACAATGAATTTGGAGACGCAGCATGCAAAGGACATACCTATACAAAGGGTGAGATTCTGCATTATTCACGTGCTGTTCTTTATTTTTGTAGACTATATCCCCCTTATCTAATTTTCTTCCACTGTTATTATATTCATTTAACCCAATTAATGTTTAATGTAACATTGCTTTTGTTCATTTATATTTTTGCAAACAGACATATGACTAGTAAAAAAAAAAACCCAACACTCCATCCGGTCCATAATATAAGGCGATGTTAAATACTTTGTGGTTCCAAAAGCCTGTTAATTAAAACCTTAATCTTCTCAATCATTTTATATATCTTTTTAATTTTATCTTTGAATGAAATAAATATCTACATTTAAGTAGTTGACTCCTTTGAAATACCCCTCCTTAATGATAAGTTTGATAAGAATTGCATCAAAGTCTCAACAAAAGTGAGCCTAGGATGAATATTTCTAACATTTATTTTTCATATATAAATAAAACCTAATAACAGTTTATAGTTTATAATATGAAAGAAAAAATAAGCTTCACTTTTACAAATGTTCATGCAAATGTCGCAAATCTTATCACTTTCTACATGTATTTTCATTATGATGAGTTCTTTTTCCTCAAATAGGTTTTTGCAAAGCAACAAATTGAGCATCTCACTGCTGAAGCGTGGGCTTCACAAAGTAAACAGATACAATATAAGGTTTGTTACTCTCTATTTACTTCAGTGCATACGCATAGGGAACCCATGCGATACTTAGTGAATTCTGATCCTTAAAACTGTTTTCTTTTGCCTATCAGATTCGTCGGCAGGTTGCAAAGCTAAGCCAAGAGAGCGGCTTCATGTCCGAGTATACTCGTATGGTACTAGTTGAGAATGATGAGTTGCTTAAGAAAGTGAATCGATCAGATGGAGCCAAAGAGGTATTTTATCAAAAGCTTATAAGTTATTTAACAAAGTATAGGTATTTTATCAAAAGCTTATAAGTTATTTAACAAAGTAAACTCGACATTCGGGTAGGCAAAAATAGTTGTATTCTTTCTTTAACTTTCATGTCTAATTGAAATTGATTTTTGAATTACGTTTTTTTTTTTTTGTGTCTTTTAAACACTTCCAAACCAGTTTAAATATATATAACTACTTCTGCATTAATAGGTACAATTTACATTATTTAATTGTCTTTGTGCTAATTAGGCTTCAGAAAAAGGCCACCCTCCAAAAGTAACAGACGTCCGAGGGCAGAGAATAATCGGACTTCCAAAGTTAAGCATCGGCTTCGGCAACCTGAGCGCAACAGTTGAAAATATTTGTCCAGGAGCTGAAGAGACGAAGTTGCCTGAAGCGGCTGAACAATTGGTGAGGGCTGCCCAATATTGTTGTAGCACTTTGTGCGATCAATGCTGTTGTGCCTGCTGTATCACTGTATGTTCCCGTCTGAACAACCAATGCGTAACAGCATTGACTCAGCTTTGCATTGGCTTGGGATGCTTGGGCTGCCTCAGCTGTTGTTCAGAATTATGCTGTCATGGACACGAATGATGGCTGATCTGAAATCTCTGGTAGCTAATTGTATGTGGCTGTTGTATATTGCAATCTTTATACCCTTTTTACCAAAAGGAAAAAAGAATATTTATGTATATGTGCAAGTCATATGCTTGTTAAAGGGTCATCTTTTTGGAAGGCCAGGAAAAGGTTTGTCTTTGGGGCCCTGGTTTTGTTCGAACTATGCTTTGAACCGTTTGTTTTGTTCGAGTCTACTGTATTTGTCCCGCCCCAGTTTTGGCCAACATGGCGTGAAAATAATAATGTTATTGTAATATTTTTTGTTATGTTACATTATATTTTTAAAGCTAAAAAATTTCAGCGTTAAGAGAAATGTATATTCACAAAATACGTTGTAATCATTTTTTCTTGACACCCTTCTTTGGCGCCCTTCGCGCCCCACCTCTTGTTCTCACTGCAGCCTCCTAAGAAATGGACCATTCATAATTGGAGATTTGCAATTTAAAGCGTCTCTCGTTGAAGCGTATGGTTGAAGGAGAGCATTTGATTGCAGGTGGTAAATAGAAAATCAAACGTTGGAAGATCGATTCCACAATGCTTGATTTATCATTTTCACTCAGTGACAGTGCAATGCAAGATTAATTTAGTAAAAAGAAAACTCCACCATAATCATCCCAAATTCCTCAGGTTACAATCAACATGGCAATAGTAATCAGCTGTAGCATTAGTCCATAAAGATATTCAGTTGATAGCATCTTACAGGTTAAACATCAATTTTATTCTCATCGCCAGTAAGATTTCCTGTGACCTCTTTCCCAACTTCTGCAACTCATTCTTCCTCCTGTGAAGCCTCTGATTTGCGGTGGAACGTTTGCTGAATTCTCATAACCCCTTGTTCCATAGGTCCTATGGCTTGGCTAATTGTCAACATCACATCCTTGACAACCTTTTTTAAAAGAAAATATTGATATTGATATCATAACCTCTCCTATAGGCAAAATAAATGGCACGTAGTGATTATACAAACTTATTTCGGTGCCAATTATTATGAAAAGAACTTACCCGTTGGCCGCCTCCAACAACAATATCCTGGACACTTTCTTTGATGCTTGTTCCTGGAACCTCAACTCGAGTCTCCGTCTCTTCGAACACAGCTGGTTTTTCCTCGTTTTCATTTAACTTCAGGGACCCTTTTATTGTTTCTTCGGTGACTTTCCCGTATGCAGAAGCAGGGAGAAAATGGTATGGTTTTGAGGAAAATACACACATATGGGCAACAGCTGCAATAGCCATCTGCATCAATACGGAATATAAATCAAACAGTCTAAATCAATCCATCCATCCATCCATCTATATTCATAAGCGAGGCTCATTTCATACTTATTAGCAAAGCAGCCTGCAATTTTTCAAAAAAGAGAGGGACAATTAGTAAGGCTGCTGGTCGTGCAGTACAGAGATGCTGCTGCAGCAGCAGCAACAACAACAAACTTCACCCCTCTAAGTAGGACCAACTGCAGGGATTGCATGACACTATTATGCTTTATTATCAATCAACTTCCATAAGTGCTTTCTTTATTCTCCCTCCGCACCTCTTTACAAGGCTGAAGATTGTTTGTTCCACTCTCCACACCGATGCCTTTTATGGCCTTCTTTGTATATATCCAAACAATCTTAAATGATTTTCTACCATTTTCCTTCAATAGATACCACGCTCGCTTTTTCTTGTATATGCTCATTTTGAATTTTATCTTTTCGCATATGTCCACATATCCTTTTTAACATTCTCATCTCTACTACTTCAACTTTATATTTTTGTTGTTCCTTTGAAACCAAATATTCACTATCATATAACATAGCTAGTTTTATCGTAGTTTAGTAAAACTTTCCTTTAAGTTTATTAGGTGCCTTTCGATTACAAATAACTCCTTTAACTTTTATCCATTTAAACCACCCAACTTATATTCTATTGACAACATCCCCATCAATTTCTTCATCGTGTTGACTAATAACTTCCATAGTGTCTGATTTGTTTTTCAGAATTACAATACAAATATTTTGTATTACTCCTATTTAGGCGAAAACCCTTCAACTCCAAGGTTCTCTTACATAACTCAAATTTTGCAGTTAATATCTATTCTTGTCTCCACAATAACAACTATATCATTCACAAAAAAAATGTAATTGAAAATTTTCTCTTGAATAATTAATATTTATTTTTAACTCCTAATTAACAATTGGCAATTCACAATCCACTATCAATACTTTTCACAAGAAATTCTTGATGAGTGAGCTTAAACTAGTAAGCTGCAACCTGAAGCCTTCATTCTTTTTAATTTCTCCCGGAAGCATTTGAACTTTCTTTTCTCACTTGGGCATTTTACACAAATACCTATGAAAGTACGCTAAAAGTTTTCTATTTATTTTAGAGAATCAAAGTTGCTAAAAAAAAAAAATATGAGCTCGAAGTCAAGACCATACCATAAGGAGTGAACCAACCTCTATACAAATTAAGAAATCCTGCAAGCCATTTTGTACTTTCCCCTCCTTCGGGAGTACTCCAAAAGCACACAATAGAGCAATGCCTACACCTTGCCACCAAGTAGCAAACACAATAGCCTTAAAGCTAATGAATTTTGAAAGTGGCTTTATGGGTTCAAGTTGTTCGTGGGTAACATTATAAAACTGCACAAGGCAATATAATGCCCACATCTGGCTGAAGTTCAATACAACTGCCATATATGGATACCTGTAAAAGATGCAACGCCATTATTAATATTTCATGAAAAGGAAGATACATTGACTAGGCTTTATCACCGTGTATTAACAGAGAAGAGAAGTCTATATTTGAAATATATGAAAGATACAACAAATAATTATGTGATACAGTACAGCAGTAAAACAGGTCTTGAATTCTCATTTTGTATGAGAAACATACCCACAGTGCCAATTGAACTCTCCATCACCATAAACCCCAAAGAGTTCCAACAAAAATGCTAAGAATGCACACACAGTCTTCAGGATCATCTGCACAATATCAGGGTCCCTTTAGAATTACAAATTTAAAATGTCCCACCCATAGAAAAAGACTTACAGTGACTTACATATTGTACAAGACCAAATTTTTCTATTGAGAGAAGATCTCTTCCAATAGCAGAAGGATGCCAAAAAAAGTTGTAGAATGATCTTTGCCATACATTGGGATTTTTATCTGATCCTTCCAACAATGATTTTCTGAGGCTTGTTCCTGATTCACTTTCAAGTAGTTCTACAACACTTCTTTCACCCCCTAGCAAATTTTTTGTTTCAAAGGATTTAAAAATTTAAAGCATATGATTGTGAAGTCATGCCAACCTATCTGTTATGCTTACGAACAATAAAAAGTGTGGGTAGCACTGAAGTAAGGATTTAGGTATATAATCTGCCACTTGCAAAGCAGAAACGTTTCTCAATCTATAAATTCACAGCCCACATTACCTATTTTAGTTTTGACTAAGTAGCCCAAATAGTATATTATTTTCATTAAAAAAATCCATACATATACTTAGAACAGATTGCATAAGCGTATAACATAAGCATTATTCATTTTAATTTCATGGATTTCTCAGCCAGTCAAAGAATTCTAGATTGCCTGAATATACTAAAAATTTTCAGAAACATGACACACTAATTTAAACTGAGAAGGAGACCTAGATTTGCAAGACATCAGAACACGTAATAATGTTCTCAATACTTGAACAGTGAGTAACTTACCAAGGCAAGCAATGAGATATCTTCCAAAAGAGTACAGGGCAAATGCTTCATAGCAGTTTCTCAGAATGTCACATGCAAGTGATAATCTTGGATTCCACAGAGATATGATCTGAAGGACAAGAGACAGAAGTGAAGCTTTGTTATGGATGTCACTTAGATCAGATGTAAAGATTTATTAGAGACATCAGATGACTTACATTTTTTTCCTTTTCCTTTATTTTCTCGAAGGAGAAATAACTTATAATAGAGAAAGGCATGAATTTGATGTAGAAGTTGAAGAGAAAATGAACTATAGAAATTTACCATATTGTCTAATTACAACAGAATCAGAGAAGGTGGACATAAACTTTAAGTTCTGTAACATATGTGGTTGTCCATAGTTAATCCCCCCGCATCCCTCATTCAGGTAAAAATTCAAAATTGTTTAACCTCAGGTTGCACCTCGATGGTTGGACCAAAAGAATCTGCATTCAAACTTCAATGTATAGCCTTCAACTATATTTCATGATTTCAATCAAATGTTATTAGAGGCGTATTTCAACTCATCCTTCCTAATGTTTCATACCCCAAATTTAGTAACTAATCTACCAACACAGGTAGGGGATTGTATGAGATTAATTAACCAACCTATAATGTTCACGTTTCCTCTAACGAAAGCTTGGGAACAGCTCAAATATAAACCTATTAACAAATGCGTGCATCTTGATACAACCTTAAAACTTCAAATCAGTATTTAGTAATTCCTTCCGGTCACTGGTCCACAAAGCCAAAATGAAATCAAGAATACAATTTTTAGAGCCATAGAAACTTACAGACTCAGTAGCATAGACTGGAACCATAAAAATGACAGCAACAAGCCACTTCTGTTCCTGAATACAAATTAATTGTGGATTAGGAGATCATACATACTATGAAGAATTTTATTTTGGATTTTGTGGCCAATCATAGAGGATTAAAAATGTCTCAACTCAGACTTGCTTTAAAACTTCATTCACATGATAACAAGTTACTAGCTAGTAAATCCCTTGCCAATTATGACTGGCAATCTTCGAGTTCATAGAAACTCTAGCATATGTAAAAACCATTAAAAATTCCTTAATGAAAGAACAACATGCTTAATTCAATCATTCAATTATTTATGGGACCTCAGGTTCAGACTTTTGACAATAAATATCCAATGAATTAAATCAGTGTTGATGCTATATTTGCAGTTAAGAATTTCTCCATAACTCCTAAAGATCCTACTCAAGCTGCAATGCTGCATGAAATATGTGATAACATCTAGTATCTTCTTTTCCTTTCTGGGAACAGCTGTGACAATCAATAGATTGCATATTATGATTTTGGAAAAGTCTTAACTGTATGTAGATACTATTTCCAAACATGAATATTATTGAAGACAACCTCAAGGACCAAGAACTATAAAAGTTACGCATGGCTTATGACATGTCATAGGGGAACAAATTGAAAAATGAGAATTTAAAAATATATATACCTGACATTTTAGATTACCATAAGGAAAATAACTCACCGCGGGATTTGTATATGATCTGAGATGTTGCAGGATGAGAAAAAGGGAGAGTGTTAAAGCTATAAACACAAAGCATCCCGCAATGATCACTGCTGATTGGTGAAAATTTTTATAGATTACTTCTAAGCTTGATAAATAATTAGATGCCATTCCTCAAGCATGCTGGACTCCTAGATATGCAGGAATTCGGAAGCTCATCTGGCAGCAGAACGTCCACCTAAATTTAAAGGAAAATAAACAGCGTCACATTCTTCATTTTTCCCTTTTTTTTTTTTTGTAGCTTGTGTATAAAAGAAATTTAGCCTGAGTGTAGGCGGATAACTCATTGCCAACCAATGAAATACTACCTGTTTGGACTTCTCATATACTAATAGCTCTATCGTTCATGTTTACTAGGATTTAGAAATAATTCAACACGACCAAGCAGGAGTTTAATTTCAGTGGCCCAAAAAGGCAAAAAGCCAAAAAAACAAAAAGCATGAGCTTAATTTCCTTCTGAAAAATAAAACACCTTCTGAGTCTCACTTTTTTCAAAACCCATGTGTACGTTATGCAGATCATTAGTAGCAATTATCCATTATCTAGAAGATCTTATGTACCTAGTGCAGTTATGTGTCTTCACTCGGTCACATCCAATCTTGATTAGAAAATATATGGAGAAACCAAAATAAACTGCTTAAAGGGAAATTCTACACTAATATAAATTAAGCCAATTTTTCATACACTCTTCACGCTGTCTCCTTTTTTATTTAAAAAATAGTTTTCAGACGGCCGGAGTATAAGTTTCTTTCCTGTTGATTGGGAAGCTTTACTTCAATGGAAACTACAAGGATCTGCAATGCCGGCACCTATATCAGAATCAGTGGCTCGTGCAGCAACTTCAATGACAATGTTTAGAATCAGTGGCTCGCGCAGAAACTTCAATGACAATGTTTGTTGCCTTCAACTCAACTCCAATTGGCTTGCCTGAGGTAGTTAAAAGTGATCAAGATCCAAGATAAGGCTTTCTATTATAAAAGTGATCAAGAACTCAGTTGAAAATATTACTAATTAGTTCAATTGAATTATTTTACTTAATTAACTTCTGTATTTGGAATACATTTTAAAACGAAAAAATTCTATTGGGTTATTAACGACAATACCTGCTTCTTATGATGCATCAAACATCAATAACAGGATGACAAATTATTTTGTCACCAAATGAATTCTTGACGTCAAATCCTATTCCTATCAGTTTTCGTGGGATTTGAAAAGCTCAGTGAGATTCACTAAAAAAATGAATTGGACTTCACTTTCAAAAACATTCCAAACAATCAAGTCAAATTGAAAAATTAGAATTGATATCAAGCGGATCCCCAATTTATTAGCGTTCCAAACACATTCGTCATTCTTCAATTGGCATTTGCCTCTTCCGGGTTCGAAAATGTTAAGGCTACTGACTCCGGTGTTCTAAGCCTTTTCTCTCCCTTTACGGTCGACCCTTGAGCTAATAAATCGTAACAGGTCACCATCACCTTGCTCCACCATCGTTAGTGCTCAATGGATAAGAAAATGAATCCAAGAGAAACGATCACAGAATCAATAATTCAAGTGAAACAAGTAGATATTTATCAACAAGCGCAATTCTACTCCAATTCAATTTGAGTGGTGCGATCACGTAAACAAATTGATGGGCAAGAAAGAAGGAACAGATATTACTGACCTGTGACGAAAACATCGCTGAAAACCCGTGGGGCCAAGTTCTGTGCTCTTTAAAACTCGAAAACGGTTTACCATGTTATCCATGAGAATGATGACTCAGAAAATGGAAAATGAAAGGGATCTTTGGGACTTGGCGTTGTGGGTTGACACGTTCGCAGCAGCTCTGCTTCTCAATCCTGAAATTAACACGTATGGCGGGATGGCAAATCGCCATGGCTCCCTTCGTCCTTTTTTTTCGCGCTAAATTTGTCGTTTATAAGAATATTTAGACATGGGTGGTCCCAGAATTTTATTTTGGAGAATTGCACTACAGGCCTCAAAAGAATAAAAAATTACATTACAGACCCAATACATTTTAATATTACACTATAAGCCTAAGGATTTTTGTTGCAATTTTTCTTAAAAGTAAAAGTACAAGTTTATCTTTGTATGATTTGAAAACTGAAATCACGTACAATGCAATATCTATAAATATATAACACGATATTCATAAATTTTCAACACAATATCTATGCGTATCTGATTGATCGATAAATTTTATAAAATGTACAAGTGACACAAATAATATACAATACAATATTCATACAATCTCAACTAACATTGTCTTGAGAATTTATGAATATTGTATTATATATTTATGAACATTATGTTTTACATCTATGGATATTGTATTGTACATGCTCTGCGTGACTTTATTTTCATCAACATATAAATCAACTGGACACACATGGATATGCTCAATGTGACTTGTATATTTTAACCTATAGATCAACTGGACATGCATGAATATTGTGTTAATAATTTAATAATATCGTGTTATATATCCATGGACATTGTGTTATACATTATCTAAGTTTTCAAATCACACCAAGGCAAAATTATATTTTCACTTTTAAGAAAAATTGCAACAAAAGTTCTTGGGCCTACAATATAATATCAAAATATATTGAGTCTAAAGTAAAATTTTTTATTGTTTTAGAGCCTACGGTACAATTCTCCCTTTTATTTTATAGGTCAAGATTGAAAATCACTAACTAATAATAAAAATTGATTAATTTAATTATTTGTTAAAGTAAAGAAAATACCAAAATATGTTATATATGAAAATTAGCTTTTGCTTTTCATTCTTATCCTCAGTTGAATATCAATAGAAAGAATGAATTTTTAGATATAAAAATGGGATAAATAATTTAAATTTTTAGAAGGAGTGTTTTGGAAAATATGAATTGATTTTTTACACCTAAAGTCTGTAACTATATCATAACTTATAGTATTTGGGGCTAAAAAAAGAAATTTAAAATATAATTTCTCTCTCACGTTTATTATTTTTTCCCAAACCATCTCATTGATTGTACGCATTGATGTGTGCGATCAACAACAATTAATACGAATAATTTTCAATATAAATTATTAGATGAAAGGGATTTTTTAAGAAAAATTAATACTTACATTTTAAAAGGTTTTATTAGTCCTTTATATAAGTCATTTTGCTTTTTTTTTTTGTAACTTTTAATGTATAATTATAAAACTATCCTAAAAAAAATTCTTAAAAGAAGTTCACTATTTCAACTTTTTAAGAAAATTCTTTTCACATTTTAAATGACTATTTTTAAAATTTAGGAACAAAATTGAAAAGTGATTTATTTTTAAGATAATTTTATTATTCTAACTAACTCATCTTGATTTTAGTGAGTTACTCCTTCTGTTCAAAAATAGAAGACATTTTTAATCTTTTAAGATATAATCATTACTTTTTTAAAAAAAGTGCCTCTACTGATAATAATTTTAAAATTATTGTAAGATATTTAATAGAGTTAAATATAAAAAAATAAGATTAATTTAAAAGTATATTACCATTTTATTAGGGGGTGAGATTCGATTAAAAATACCTTATATTTTTAACAGAGAGAGTAATTAGAAATGATTTATAAAAATAGCTAGATTGAGTATTTTTTTTAATCAATAACACACTTAACTACTTTTCTTAATTTTTGTAAATTAGTTATACAACTCTTACATTTAATATAAGAGTAATGAGTATGCTCTTTCTGTATCTATATATAGAGTATTTTCTAAAATTTTATTTTGTCTTTAAATATAAAGGGTGTCATGATATTTTAAATAATTAGATAATTTTATCTTTTGAAAAAATATTTATTTTATACTTTATCCTCCGGCATCATCATATTAATTAACATTATTAAAAAAATTAAAAAATTATTTTGATTTAATGTAATTTTAAATAAATAATAAGCTTCTATTGATATGCAAAATTAAATTAAAAATACTTTATATATTGAGATAAAAAGAGTACTTTACTTATATAACAACTCATAATAGAGACTTCAAGTTAAATCAATCATAAAATAATAGAAAACAAAATCAAATTAGTCATTTTTTTTTTTGGTTGGATCATAAGAATTAACATTCTTAGACCCTGCCTACACTCTTCCCACTTACTTCATATCTTCCATTGCCCCATATTACTCCTGATCAGTAAAAATAAGGACCCATCTTTTCTACTTTGACTAGCAATAACCCGTGTTCGCAGAGGATTTTTTTATCTGTATATAAATATTGTACAGTAATTTTATATATGCATAATCATTAAACAGTAAAGTTTGTATAAATATATTATATAATTGAGATATTAAAACTTGCCAATTGTTACTAACAGGCACTTGTCATAGTGAAATGAGTCATGCAACCGTTTAAATATAAAGTCTCAAGTTCAAATGCGTATGTGAATGCACAAAACGTGTTTGAAAAAGTTATCTCTAATTAAAGTCGACAATACTTAAATTTAACCTAATCAGATGATTATATAAAAACAATTTATCAATTATCATTTACTATTATATAATCTATTTATAATAAAGCATGTACAAATACAATGAAATGTGTCTCCTAGCACTCATGGTTATTTTATCCTTTTAAATTAAAATTCAAGACTTATTATAATACTTACTTGATATAAGTAGTGATAAAGATAAAATATATCTGGTCCCTCCCATTTAGAATCAAGACAAAATAGGAAAATTTTATAGAAAATGATCATGATTAAATTTGAAGACACCATGAAAAGAATCTAAACATTTTCAATTTATTTTACAATGCATGTAAATTCCATCAACCCATTTCATAAATCAATAAGTTTTTTACGAGAAAATTTCAACTAAGGATCAAAGATGTGATTTAATTATTAATGAGTCCTAAAAAAATTTGAAAATTTGGTTCAATTCAAGAGGACTAAAGTGAAAATAATTTTAATAATGAAAAAACTAAAGTATCATTTATTTGTTAATTTTGTCTGAGATATAGAATTATCAGTTGTTAATTTATTTACTTCACTTATTAATTTATCAATATAAGTTATAAATTACATGATTTGACTTATTAATAGTTATACAAAACTTAAACATCAGTTGTTTAATCAGTTTTTTAGACAAGCAGCGATGTCCATTGTTAATTTAATAATTTTAATTATTAATTTACTAACATTAATTATAAATTACTAACATGTCTTGTTATTTATAATTAATGTTAGTAAATTAATAAGTAAAGTAAGAAAATTTAATAATTAACGTTACTACTTATGTGATAAATTGATTGAACAACTGATGTTTAAATAATGTTTAAGTCTTATATGATTATTGATAGGAAGTCATATAATTTACAACTTATATTCAAAAATTAACAAGTGAAGTAAAATAAATTAAAAACTAATAATTCAACATCTCGAACCAAACTAACAAGTAAAATGTAGTTTAATTTTTTTTATCATTGAAATCATTTTCACTTTAGTCCACCTAGATTAAATTGAAGTTTCAAATTTTTTGAGATCTATTAATAATTAAGTCACATCTTTGATTCTTAATTGAAATTCTCCTTTTTTATATCAACTAAATTGGCCATGTCTAATGTCCCATGTGCTACATCGTCGATGTCATTCATATATTTTAATTTAATATAACGATATGAATCTTCTTACTCTTTTAAGAAAATATCTATAACGATGCACTTAAATACATGTGTAATTTCTAAGCACAAAATGAACTAAATTTTAAAAAAATTAATTAAATATTTAGTATGAATATGTGTCAGATATCTCGGCTATATATTTTTTGGGTTGAATTGAAAAAAACAATCAATCTTCTAAAACTCAACTTTACAATTTTTAAATTTATTCGAGTTGAATTTTAGATTACACTCATATTATCGTTGAGAATATTATCCTTCCAATGCAATGATGCTATAAATTACTGTATACTAATTATTTTTTCAATTAAGGATGCAGTAGTTTAATTATTTATTTCATTTGTAATTGTCTTGCACTATAAATAATGTAAACCATTTTAAAAAATATTTATATACAGTTTCGTGCAAAAATTAATTAATATTATTTTATTGTAATTTTTTATGAGCCAAATTTAATTTTTATCTAAAAAAGTTAAGAATTTTTTCAAGTAAGATAGCACTACAATGAATTATTTTCCTATTATTATTAAAACGAGATAAAGCATTAAAAAATAAAAATGAAAGTGTATTAAGTAATCTCTTGTGTTTATTTTTTTAATATTTTTAAAAATATTTAAAACAAATAATTATCATAGCATTAAAACTTTATTTAATTAGGAGTAGGAAACTGGCAAATTGAAAGTCTGAGAGAAATTAAAACTTCATTAAAATAACATCCCGTACGTGCAAAAATTCCCGAGGTGCATGCTGAGCAGATTATATTATTCGTTAGACAAATTTTAACCGTCCATTCGAATCCAACACAACACCATCCGTTAAGAGACCCCAAGACAAGTTTGATAATTAACTTGAAAGACTAGAAAATGAAGAAGACGAGGACAAGCCAGCTGGATGCGGTTGGGTTGGAATTAGAAACTTCAACAAAGACTGGCTAAGAACAGAATGGCTAAGGAGAGACGAGAGACTTGAGTATAGACCTAGCGATGGGAATATATTAGGCTAAGTTAAACTTTGGTCAAAGAGACTTGAAGATGATAAAAACTTAAACCTCACATAAAGTTTATATAAAGTTTTTCTCACAACTTAGATCTGAGCTTACCTAAAGTTTGGTTTAACTTGAAAATCTATTTATAAGCTTATTAAAAATAAGCTTTTTAAATAATCTTGCATTTTAATTTTAAATGTATCAAATATATTTTAGGACTATTAGTATAAATATATAACTTGATTTATCA